GTACTAAAATAGAACAACTAAACAAAAATGAAGAGCGATATCAAAATCTTGAATAATTCAACCCTTCAGAAACAGAATATTTGTTTAGAATTTCTCCTCCTAAACACCAGTTTTTGTCTTATTTCACCAGAAATTATATTTGTGTTGTTCTACACACTTAATCGTTAATTGGATATTCTCAATTTGTACGTTTTTTTCCCTCTAATTATGAAATAATTAAGCTTTTTTTCTTACGTTACATCAAAGCCGCTGCCTTTGGGACAGCTCAACCTTTTACAGTGGCACTGAATTGATCAGGTAAATACCACACACAAAAAAGAAAAAGGAAAAAAAAGAAAAATCAATTAACTTAAATCTCAAACATTTCCAAAACACACTGTATGAACTGTAAATACAATTATAAATGTCCATATGATGTCAATGAACTCAAGTCTTTATGGAACCTTAAGAATCAATAAACAACGTCCCTTTTTAACTGTTTTTATCGAAGTCAAGGTATCGGTATCTATATCGAACATTTTTGAACGATACCCAGCCCTACATATGATGTCAATGAACTCAAGTCTTTATGGAACCTTAAGAATCAATAAACAACGTCCCTTTTTAACTGTTTTTAGCGTTCAGTTCGATCAGTAACCAACAAGTTAAATGTTCGATCCGCTCAGTTTGAAGTATAGTGCGTGAAAAAACTAAAAAAATATATCCAACCAGTTTCCGACGCGAATTCAAGAAATTTCAGTCCGTTCAGATCTTTGGGTGGCCCGCCATCTGTTTTTCCTCTCCGCGAATAAGCAGTCCTGCGTCAGCGATTCGATAACTCGAACACAGCCCTTAATAGCACACAAAAAAAAACCCCGGCCTGCACATAGCCGGAGAGCACACTTAATTCACTTTCGTTAAATCATAACAAGCTCAGAATTAATTTTGAGTTAATATCGTTCACTTAACAACTTATTAGATCATACAATCAGTTATTAACATCATACAACCGACATCACGAATATAAATCATGAAATGTTACAGCACAAAATACATTAATTGCCTCATGTTATACAGTACATCTGTTCAAACACAAAGCAGTATTCAATTTGAATATTAAACTCACCAATTCCTTGGTAAACACTCAGTTAATCTGTTGTTTCTTCCGTGTGACGCAGCTGTTATTAAGTTGATCGATCCGATCTCTAAGTTTCTTAACTCGGCTTTAAGAGTGTAACTCTCACTCAAAACAGCAAAATCTCATTTATCATATCTTTCTAACAACTTACGTTTTGTTTCAGCTAATATTTTCTCTAATATTCTTATTTTTCCTAGGTTTTTCTGCAGAACCTTATCTTCTCTCAAGTTCAACCAAATCGTCTCCGTCTCTGTCTAACTGGTGGGCGGAGTTACCATCACTGAATCAAGCTAATTGGTTGATCTACATCTGCAGTGAAATTCCATTATTTCATTGGGTAAGGGTTTCCACAGTATGTCTTAATATCAATATAATCAATATAATTTTAATATTATTGTACTTCATGGAAATTAAACAATTTATTTGATAAACTAAGAGAGTTTTATTTGTTATTTCCTTGGATCTGTAGTTGTTAATTTTGCCCTAATTTGGCCCTGGGCTACACTGACATGTCAGATTGATTCAACCAATGGTGGATGTTTGGGACAGGACTATCTGTACTGTTGACACTTAGATTGACCAATGGTGGATGTTTGAGGCGGGACTATTGTTTTGCTGACTAATGGAAGATGGGAAATTGAAAACAGTCATTATTTTTGCAATTCTGTTTGGTGACATTAATCCGTGCCTAAATTTGCAATATAAATCTGCAGTAGGGCTGCACGATAAATCGCATGCGATATTTAATGCGCATCTTGTTAGTAAAGCAGTTCTGTAATCAGCGGTAAATCTCCATCACGTGCGTGCTTTCACATGGAGCAGCATTAACTACACAGAGCCGTTGTTCACCGACGAGCTGCGCAAAAAATCGCGCGAATATGAACGTGGTTTAGCGCAGCTCGTCAGTGAACAACGGCTCTGTGTAGTTAATGCTGCTCAATGTGAAAGCCCGCAGGTGATGGAGATTTACCGCTGATTACAGAACCGGCTTTACTCATAAGATGCGCGTTAAATATCGCATGCGATTTATCGTGCAGCCCTAATCTGCAGTATGCTTGACATGTTAATATCAGTGTGTATTTTGTGTTGCAGTGAGCAGGTAGAGAAGCCAAGAGCCCACATGTGTGCTCACACACACACACACACACACACAGCTGGCCTCGAGTCTTTGTCTGACTCAGACTGTATTGAGCTGCAGTGATTGATGTTAATTGTAGAACAGAATGGAGGTATTAAACACCGAGAAACTCACAGCCAAACACATTGCCAAGACAGACTCATTAACCCACAGCTCTTCCTCTCGTACCATCTCAGAGCAAGCCATCTCAAACAGAGACAATACGAGTGTGTGTGTGTGTGTGTGTTCAGAGCCTCAGCCAAAGATCAATATCCCAAAGCTGCAAAAGCAAAGACATGGGCAATCAATACTGCCGCTACAAGCAGCGAGCAGGGACTGAAAGAAAGAGAGGGGGAAAGACGAGAGAATGAATTAAAGGGACAGGACAAAAAGTAAAACAATCTCTACAAATCAGTCTTAAAATTCAGAGCAACAAAGCCAAAAAATCCAAGAGTTATACACTTAGCAAAGGGTTCTCATACTTTTTGACCAATGAATTTCTGTGACTTTTCCATGACCTTTCCAGTCGTTTGTGATTACTGGATGAGGATTCACTAATTAATCATTCAGAGCAATTTGTGAATCAGTGTGACTAATTCATTGAAAAGAAGCAACTCGAAAAGAACAATTCGCACACAAATCAGACATCACTATGGCTCATGAGCAAGATTCACTTGATACAAGAACAACATCTACCCGATGAAATATTTTAGAGCATAATTAGTGCACAGTGTGCGTTTACTATAGAAATTTCCATGACGTTCAAGATTAATTTCCATGGCCTGGAAAGCATGATTTTAACATTCCTCAATATTTCCAAAATTTCCATGGATTATGGGAACTCTGTTAGAAAATAAAACAAATCCTTTATTAATTTTAAAGTGTCTCACCTGAGTCTGAGCACATAATATAATATTAATATATAAATGACATTTTAAATTAAATAAATAAACAAACCAGTTTTAATCTTAATCGGTGTAGAAATGTTCCATTCTATATTGCACATTGTCAGATTTACATAATATGCACAGTATGCATATCATGCATAATAATTTTATATAACGCAGAAATAAGAATGGTATGCTACTGAGAAATCAGCTTAGGTGTTGCATTTGAATACCTGATGGATGAATGAGGCCAGAGATCCTACAAACACCCTCTACTGGAAGCACAGCACAGAACACCAGAGGAAACTGAATGTTGGAGGTGACGGACGTTTGGAAGCCCGGAGGGAAACAGTCTCTAAATGTCAGGTGGATTAATAATGGTTCTTATCTGCCTCTTCTTTCCTCCTCTCCGTCCCTCCTTTCCTCTCTCTTCCTCTGAAAAACAACTTTCTTTCCAATGGCACATACTTCACGAGGTGGGAGAGGTTGAACAAGAAGCAAACATGAATGCATTTAGAGGAGAAAGTCGATGTGTGTGTCTGTATGTGTTACAATGGGTGGAGGGGACCAAAGGGATGACCTGCAAGTCCAAATCACTGACTAAATACTGACCCTCGTGTCCCACTATTAATAACTGTCTCCCAGCTCACACACACGCTCACACACACGTGCACGACTGTGTTGTGTGTATACTTAGTTATACTTTGAGCTAAAAAAAATGTTAGTTAAAAAGACAGAAGACATCCTGAATTAGACAAACGAGTCCTAAATATGGTTTTAATTGGGTACCTGCTTATAAAAACAGTCTAAGCATGATTAGGCAGATCTGTTCTCGCTTGATTTGAAGAGGTTTGAAGAGACCAGCAAACCCTCTTATGCTGGTTTAAGTTTTTCAAGGGTAGGGTTTGGTTAATTGCTTTAGGTCTATATAAAAACAACAGATGTCTATGGTATGTCCTCATTTAGATAGCTAAGTAAAAAGTGTGTGTGTGTGTGTGTGAGTGTGTGAGAGAGAGAGAGAGAGAGAGAGTGTGAGTGTGTGTGTGTGAGAGAGAGAGAGGGTGAGTG